GAGAGAGAGAGCATGAGTGGGGGAGGAACAGAGAGAGGGAGACACAGAATCTGAAACAGGCTCCAGGCTCTAAGCTGTCAGCACAGAGCCCGACGCGGGGCTTGAACTCACGAACCAAACCATGAGATCATGACCTGAGCCGAAGTCGGACGCTCAATCGACTGAGCCACCCAGGCGCCCCTATACGTCACTTTTTATCAAACAACTTTAGCCTCTTTCAAACCTTTTGCTTGGATTCTAACAAAATAATCTGCCACCAAATAACGGATGTGCAATCCCAGCACATTCTTTTATTTGAGGCAGTATAAAATAATTTAGAAAACAGAAACAAGGCAAGGAAAACAAAGCGTGTTTTGGTTCTGTTGGTTTTGAAATCAGGTGTGATAAAGCACTGGGTTTCAACACTTACATCTGAGCCCACACTTCTCATGGTGCTTTGTAGGACAGGTTTAGTCACAGAGAGTTTTCCATTCGCCAGGCTGTTGGCCACAGGGGCCGGCACCACATTCACCATGGGATTAGGTAGTTGCGTGGCTCCCCCGGTGACAGCAAGGACCGGGGCAGGAGAGGGCAGGACTCCAGGTGCCTGAAGCTGGACCACGGCAGGCGAAGAGAGCACTACTGTTGGACCTGAGTGCAGAAAGAAGGGAAGGAATCACAGCGTGCACGACCATTGAGGCAGAGGATGCCGAACACTCAGGTCTCTTCTGTGGCTGTAACAGGAAGATGACACTGAAGGGATTTAAAACCACCAATGAAGGGGGTGCCTGGGTGGTTTAGTTGCTTAGGCATCTGGCTCTTGATTTTGCAGGTCATGATCTCACAGTTTCATGGGTTCGAGCCCCACACTGGGCTCTATGCTGATAGCACAGAGCCTGCTTGGGATTCTCCCTTTCTCCCTCTGTCCCTCCCCTGCTTGTGCTCTCTCTCTCAAAATAAATAAACATTAAAAAAAACAGAAACAAAAACCCCACCAATTAAAACATAATCAATAGCAGCACACACACAAACTTCTGTTGTTGTATTTTTTTTTTTTAATTTTTTTTCAACGTTTATTTATTTTTGGGACAGAGAGAGACAGAGCATGAACGGGGGAGGGGCAGAGAGAGAGGGAGATACAGAATCGGAAACAGGCTCCAGGCTCTGAGCCATCAGCCCAGAGCCTGACGCGGGGCTCGAACTCCCGGACCGCGAGATCGTGACCTGGCTGAAGTCGGACGCTTAACCGACTGTGCCACCCAGGCGCCCCTGTTGTTGTATTTTTAATGAAAACTAAATTTGTTCCCTTTGAAGTTATCATTAATAATGTATTTCCATATTTTTTCTCAACTGTATGCGTGCCAAACTTGGTAAGTTATACATAGATTTTTCTATCAACCTCTGAAATTAGTACTAAAAAATATTTTTCATATTGTAAGTAACAAGACTTTTATACTGAACACTGAGAGCCACGTATTTTATTTTTTAAATTGTTTTTAATGTTTATTTTTGAAAGAGAGAGAGAGAAAGAGAGTGAGCAGGCAAAGGGCAGAGAGACAGGGAGACACAGAATCCAAAGCAGGCTCCAGGCTCTGAGCTGTCAGCACAGAGCCCGACACGGGGCTCGAACCCATGAACTGCGAGATCATAACCTGAGCCAAAGTTGGTCATGGCTCAACTGACTGAGCCACCCAGGCGCCCCAAGAGAGCCATGTATTTTAAATTAATCGGATTTAGAAATACAACACCAAAAATATATAAACGGTGATTCAGTAACTCAATACGTGGAAAGACAGGAGCTACAAATATCAAAATGTTAAAACTTGCAGCAATATTTATAATAGCCAAAATACAGATGCAACCCAAGTGTGCATCAACAGATGAATGGATGAGGATGTGGTAAATACAGGCAATGGAATACATAAAAAAGAACGAGATCTTGCTGTTTGCAACAACATGGATGGATCTAGATAACATAATGCTACGTGAAATAAGTCAGAGAAAGACAAATACCGTATGATTTCATTCATATGTGGAATCTAAGAAACAAAACAAACCAACAGAGAAAAGGGACAAACAGCAACAAAAACCAGACCCTTAAATACAGAGAACGGGTGGTCGCCAGTGGGGAGGAGGGTGGGAAAAGGGTGAGATAAAGGGATGTAGAGCACACTTCCTGTGATAAGCACTGAGTAATGTATAGAGTTGTTCAGGCGTTACCTGCACACCCGAAACTAGTAAGACTGTATGTTAATTAGACTTCAATTAAAAATATACTTTTGGGGGTGCCTGGGTGGCTCAGTCAGTTGAGCGGCTGACTTCGGCTCAGGTCATGATCTCACAGCTCGAAGGCTCGTGAGTTCGAGCCCCGTGTTGGGCTCTGTGCTGACAGCTTAGAGCCTGAAGCCTGCTTTGGATTCTGTGTCTCCCTCTCTCTGACCCTCCCCTGCTCATACACTGTCTCTGTCTGTCTGTCTCTCTCTCTCGCTCTCTCTCAAAAATAAACAAACGTTAGAAAAAAATTTTTTAACATATTTTTTATAAAGTTGTTCATGATACCCTTGTTTAAAAAAAATGTTAAAACCATCTGAGATGAATTCGCAGCTAACAGGCACAGGAAACATAAATCCGTAATTTAAAACAGTCTGTAGACAATACCAACTCCCCCTACACACACAAAATGGCCTACAAATCTTTTCTCAATCCTCACATTTAACATTATTTTTTCAATTATGTTAATTGGAGAATCAGTAGCATTAACCTAAAGAAGACTCCTATAACTCATAACTGTGGTCTATTAAAAATCTTACTTGCCTGCTCAATGTTTCATTTCAGATCCGGCCAATTTTATCAGGTGCTGAAAGCCTCCCCCAATATCCACAGCTGCTTGAGCAAAATATCTAACAAAATAAAGGTACTAAAGTAACCAGCAACTAAAATTACATAAATATTTATAATTCTTCTTTAAGGGGAAAAAAAAAGCATTATACTTTCAGACAGCGTAACATGACCCATGTAAAACTCAGCTCGGTATTTCAAAGGATCAAGGAAAACTGAAAATCTAAATAATACTTCGGAACACCTGTTTGTTAAGAACACCTGTCTTAGCATAAAAAAAAAGTCACATCTATTAAATCAAAGTCTTTGTTTCAAATGGCCTCAAAAAGCATACTAAAAGTAGAATTTAGTTAATAGCATTACATCCCAGATAAATTATTAAATTAGCACAAAAGATGTAAAAGCAATACGTACAATTTACTTGGACAAAAATGATCACTAAACATTTTTATCTTCTTTTCCCTTGGACTCCTTTTATGAAACAAAAACGTATAAAATAAGGAAATGACTCAGAAGCAGATATAAATATGCTTAGACCAAATGTGCAAATATAAAAATAAATTAAATAGCATGTGACCAAATGTCAAGTTTTTTAGTAACACTTGTTAAGAAACCACAACACTCATTATTAACTCATCATTATGTAAAACTTCAACCAAGGGTTCCCACCCTGAATATAAGTATTTTTCTTTAACATCAAAAAGTATGGGGCAACTGGGTGGCTCAGTCGGTGAAGCATCCAACTTCAGTTCAGGTCATGATCTCACAGCTCTTGGGTTCGAGCCCCGTGTCAGGCTCTGTGCTGACAAGCTCAGAGCCTGGAGCCTGCTTAAGATTCTGCATCTCTCTCTGCCCCTCTCCCTCCCTCCCTCCCTCCCTCCCTCTCTCTCTCTCTCTCATACACACACAAAAGTAAATAAATATTAAGAAGAAAAAATTTTTTTAAAAAGTATCATGGCCACCCAAGATGGTCAGGGCTATCCATTCAGTCTCCGGGGACTGAGAAAATACATGTTGAGAAAAGGCTATTAAGAACTTAGTAAAAATTTAAAATAAATCTGTAGTTTATTACTCGGAACTACAGCCACAAAAACCTGAAAACCCGGAGTACAAAGATATATAAAACAAAGTATTCAGTGTATAGAAAATGCCTGCCCCCTATATGGGTTTGCAGATGCCTTTTGCACAATGCCCAAGGCTACCACTCCCACCACCCACACCTTAGGTCCACAGTTTGTAGGCTGGGAACCACTTGACCTAAAACCATACTTTGAGAAAGAGCATTATTAGAAGCAGTGTTCCACATCTTGTGAGTTTCAAAAGTACAATGAAAAGGTCCCGAAATGAAACACTGTTCGGTGAACTTTGGGATTATTCCGAAGACAAGAGGGGTAAGTGTAAAGCGTTAAGTCATTTCAAAGACAGGGATCATACTTCTAGTTCCAGCTAACACATGCAGGAGGCTTCGGGATATTTCTTCAACTCAGAAGAATAACCCAAGTCTGTCCTGTCTGTGGCCTAGCTGGCAGCATCCCCTTGCTGAGAGAACCACATCATGGAGTGAGGGAGACAGAGCACCACTGAGGCAAGGTCTGTGGACCGAATGTGGCTCCGAGTCCAACCAGGCCACCACCGCCTCCTGTTTTCTGTAACGCACGTCAAGCCCTCTCATCCCAGGGTACACAGCTATCCCCAAATCAGCTAGCATCTAAACCGAGGATCCTCTAAATACTCCAGGCCTGCTTGGGTCTCAAGACTGAATGGGGAGAAATTTCTATTACAACGTGTTCAAGAAAAACTCAGAGTGACTTGCTAAACAGGGACCCGAAGGTGCTCACAGATCGTAAAATGTAATGCAAAGAACTGTTCTGGGCCTCAGTTAGCAGCTGAACATAGTGACGGCTGTTCCTAGCGTGGAAACGGTCCAAAAGGACATACCAAAAGGCTGTTTATCCCTTTCAGCCTGCTCAAAATCCTCTTAGGCATTACACGCAAATCCCCCTTAACAGAACATGGCTAGATTCAATGCTAAATGCTTCTATGTATGACTCATCGATTGTAATAGTTCTTTCTTGTCAATCTTCTTCAAAGGCTTCAAACTATGTATCCAGCATTGCTGAATGCCTACCTTGTCTAAAATAGGACAGCTATGCGACCTGGGGTAAATAATTTCTCTGTGTCTTAATTTTCTCCTCTGTAAAATGAAGATAATAATAGTCCCTATCCTCACAGAGCTGATGTAAGGATTCAACAAGATAATGCACTGAAACACTTATAACAGTGTCTGCCACACAGGAAGAACCTCAATGTTGGCTGTTATTTATCATTAACTGCCATTTCTGTATAATAATAGCTTCCATGAAGGGTACTGCATGTATTATTAATTCATTAGTTCTCATAGTGACTGCTATTTAACTGTTTACATAAATGTGTTAACTCCCAATTAGAATTCTTGAGATCAAGGGGCACATCTCTGCGTTCTTTTAGCGGCAACAAAGTAGTATCGTGACTAATTACAGGCCATGAGCCAGACCCCCTGGGCCCAGGTTCTGACTCTACCTCTCCTGAGCAGAATGACCTGGGGCAAGTTATATCACTTCCATCGTCCGTTTCAATGACTTGCGCTATCATCCACTCAAAAAGCCCAAGACAGGGGGTGCTTGGGTGGCTCAGTCGGTTGAGCGTCCGACTTCAGCCCACGTCATGATCTCGCAGTTCGTGGGTTCGAGCCCCGCATCGGGCTCTGCACTGACAGCTCAGAGCCTGGAGCCTGCTTCGGATTCTGTGTCTCCCTCTCTCTCTGCGCCTCCCCTGCTTGCACTCTATCAAAAATGAATAAACATTAAAAAATTTAAAAAAAAAAAAAAAAAAAGCCCAAGACAGGATACATTCCGCTCTATCCTTCATTCCCCTTCCAAACCATCCAATCACCAAGCCTGTGATTCTGCACTTTTCCATACTCGCACTCTCTATCCTGGATCTCCATTCTCACTGATACAGCAGGCTTTCACCAGCCCTCACCTGCACTCCTCCTAACAGTCTTAGCGGACTTAGGGGCAGAAATTGTTCCAGGCAAGACAGAACGGTCTGAGCCAAGAAACTAGGGAAAACATGAGAATTCAAGGGACAGCGGCCAGATTCATCAGGCTAGAAGAGGAAGTTGGGTTTATAAAAAGGAGTGATTATAATGTAAAGTTAGAAAACGAAACTAGAGCCAAACCATGGTGCGCTTAACTTCCAAGTGAGAGAATTTGAACTTAATCCTATAAGAATTACTTCTCTTTTAATAGTAAAATATTTACTGCTGACACTTATGTTGATTACCTGTAAAATGCCTTTCCTGTATTTCCCCTCTACCTATTTCAAATAAATGGAAGACATACTTAAATCTGTATGTTTTAATAATACCAACTCTCTAGATTGTACTACAAAAACAGACAAGCACCTTATATTAGCACCTGCTCCCCAAACATAAGTACTATCTTCAGATAATGGGAAGGCACTGACATTCTGAATAATGTGTGATTCAGGTTTCTGAACCTGATAACCTGCTCAGAAAAGAACAGTTTGTCTCCTATCACTCAAGCATGATCTGCTAAGAGCAAATTCTTAGCAATACCCTTTGCTTTACACACTTGTCATAATAATGTCAAGTGTTGCTTCGTATACTTGTGTTTTAATACATTACAGGAACTATAACGAGGTTCTTGACAAGTTTAAATTCTTAGCCTTTGGGAAGATACAGACCCTTCTGAAATCCCGATAAAAGTTTTGGAGACTACTCCTTGAAAAATCCACATATACAATAAATCTTACATCTTATTTCAAGGAGTTCATGAACACTTTACATCCTTTCACAGACCACAAGCACACCCATTCTGTAGGACCCCTATTTTTCGCACGATAAAGGCAGCAGTTCTGACTCTGCACTGAAAGCACAGTTATCTCAGGTTTGTCGGGGGGGGGGGGGGGGTTGGTAGAGATTGATGGATTTTTCACTGGCTCGTCCAGTCTCCCACCTGGTTCTCCTCTTTGTCAATGTCCTATTGTTCACGACCTTGGAATAGAACAAAACTAACAAATTAACTAGAAATCAAATTTATGACCTTTGCTCTCATTAAAACTTGCTCTTCTTGCTCCAAAGAAGTGAATGAACAACCCAGAGCTGGGAACAGCGCCATAAAGACAAGTGTAACAATGGTGGTTTGTTTATAACCCATGCCCCATTAAGACCTAGTCCTAAATTCAGGGAAAGAACGTTAAACAAGTTTTCCTTTACTCTTGTGTGCACATAGCAATATGAAGAGAGTGATAGGCAATCTGCCTAAGACATCTCCATGTGCAAATGATTCCTATATCTGCACAGTTACCAAATCCTCAAACATGAACTTCTCTCAATAACTTCTTGCAATGCTAGATGTAATTCCTGCAGAATCAAGTATGTGAGGCCATCTGGTGGATAAAATATAGAAACACACACATTCTTAACTACATGAAGACAAGCATTCAGATTCTGGTCTTTTTTTCTTATTTTATTTTATTTTTTTACATTTATTTATTTTTGATAGAGACAGAGGACAAGTGGGGGAGGGGCAGAGAGAGGAGAAGACACAGAATCCAAAGCAGGCTCCAGGCTCCAGGCTCTGAGCTGTCAGCACCGAGCCCGATGCGGGGCTCAAACTCATAAACCGTGAGACCACGACCTGAGCCGAAGTCCAACACCCAAGCGACTGAGCCACCCAGGCGCCCCCAGATTCCTTTCTAATGCCCCTACTCACGATCATGTTTACCAAACCATGTTGCCTCTGCAGAGACTAAGAGCCTGATCCTTTTGCCAAAACTCACCTATTAGACCTGTAATGTTATTTTATATGCTGACCTGTTCTTAAAAATAAGAGTTCAGGGGCGCCTGGGTGGCTCAGTTGGTTAAGCATCTGACTTCATGATCTCATGGTTTGTGAGTTCAAGTCCCACATCGGGCTCTCTGCTGCCAGCGCAGAGCCTGATCTGGATCCTCTGTCCCTCTTTCTCTCTGTCCCTCCCCTGCTCGTGTGCACTTTCTTTTTCTGTCCCTCTCTCTCAAAAATAAACGTTAAAAAAAAAGTTTAAAACAAAAAACAAGAGTTCATAGACACAACAACCTCAAGATGAAATGATACCAAGGAAGTTTCCCAGATTTTCTTCTTCATTACAAGTGGCTATACAAAATCACAAGCCTGACAGTTATTTTCCTAACTAAAACTGTAAGAAAAAAGACGTATCAAACATAACTCATCTGGAGAGCTATCTCCCTTGTTAGGATAGGAACCACGTATTAGTCATCTCTGCGAATCCTCAAAACCAAGGACAATTCCTGGCACTCAGCGTGTGCTCAGAAATTATAACCCAAGATAAAATAAATGACATGACACAACCTTAGTGCCCATCACTTAAACACACGCAGCCTCAGATTCTACTCAGGTACCTTTAGCGGGTGCAGGATGTATGCTGATAATTGGTTGCTGCTTTGCCAATGGCATCAGTGTTGGCAGTGTCTGAATTATGATGGTTTTTGCTGGAACGCTGGAGTTTGTCTGAGTCTTGGGTGCTGCTGGAAGTATTAAAGGCTTGGGCTGAATTGAAGGTTTTGAAGTCATCTGAATTTTTTTCTTTGGAGTCACTCCATTTGCTGGAGAAAATCCAAACAAATCACAAATCAATCTGAAAGCAATTCCCAGAACACAGCTTCCATTATACACCTTTTTCTACACATTATCTTGACTTCTTAGTAAGTATCCTCAACTGAGTTTAAGCATAGCCACTCTAGATCTTACTGGACTCAAGAAAGGTCCTTAATCTGAGGTCTTCCCCTTTCCTTTTCAGGTACAATTGATATATAACCTTATATGAATTTCAGGTGTACGACATGATTCGGTATTTGTAGCATGTAATGATCATCACAGTAAGTCGAATTACCACGTTAGCACAGTTACAATTTTTAGGATGATAATTTTTAAAATGTAATCTCTTAACAATTTTCTAATATGCAACACAGTATTATTAACGACAGTCACCATGCTATACACGACATCTCCATGACTTATTTATTTTATAAATAGTGAGAGGGGCGCCTGGGCGGCTCAGTTGGTTGAGCGACCAACCTCGGCTCGGGTCATGATCTCAGAGTTTGTGAGTTTGAGCCCCCGCGTCGGGGTCTGTGCTGACAGCTCGGAGCCTGGAGCCTGCTTCAGATTCTTTGTCTCCCTCTCCCTCTCTCTCCCTCCCTCTCTCTCTCTCTCTCTCTCTCTCTGCCCCTCCCCCCACTCATGCTCTGTCTCTATCTCAGAAATAAATAAACATTAAAAAAAAAAAATTATAAGTAGCGAGATCTTCCTTTCTGACCAAGCTGCAGCGTTGGGAAGGGGATGTATGAACTGGTAAAGGAGAACAGCTAAAAATCACTGAATAAAGCCTAAGGATTAAGAGGTAATAAATGTCACAACTAAATGGCCCTCACAATCAATATCTTTAACTGAATCTTTGCATTCTCTCTTGAAAATGATGAGGCCTACTTCTACTTTAAAGCATTTTTCACCTATAAAGACAAAACAACCAAAGAAGATGATTCCCTGCCTTTCCTCTCCACATTAACTAACCATAACAAACAAAACAGGTCCACTCTTTTAAAACCAAAAACCCAGCTTAATAAACACGAACTTAATCCAACGTTTTCTTTTTAAAAATGGAACCTAAGCTCAGTCCAAGTTAGGACATGGAGTCATACCAACTCTGCTCCTAGGGCCAATGATGGGCTTATCTTCTTTCAGTGGCTCTGCTGAGGAGGGACTATGAGAGCTTTCACCGTACAAGGAAAGGGGAGACATCTGGGCAGCAGAAGACAAATCCAACTCCTCCTGTAGCAACATGAAACACAAACAGATTCATGCAGAAGCATACAGTCCTTGAGCAGAAAATTGCTTAGAGGGGCAAGATCCATACATAAGCAGATAAACGCTTCAGGACAACTTCAAGGCAAAGGTGTAATATATTTGAAACTTTGTATACTAAGTACTAAGAGACTGGATAAATAAGCATTATCCATCAATACTAGGGAAAAATAACCCGAACTGCAGAGTATTCTATGTTATTCCTCTCATATTAAAGATGGGATCTGCTTCTACGTTTCCTCCCACAAGCTTGGTATTTATTTGGTTCCTAGCTATATAAACATTTAGTATATGATAAGTCTATGGTGAAAATGCCAATATCCTTTTCCCCCAATCTCCTATTCAGTCTTACAAGAAACTCAAAACAAATCGTTCTTACTAATTTTTATTCTTTATTTATTAATGCCGTCTTTGTCCTAAATGTTTTGAAAGAAAGACAAACACTAAAAGGAACAGGGCTATTTTATTTAATGGATGAATTGGTAATACAGAGATGTACAAAGATAACATTTTCCAAGTGTTAACATTTAGCGGATCTGTCTCATTTTGTTGGCATACGGAAATTTAACATAGGATAAAAGTAGCATTTCTATTTTGAGAGAAAAAGATGTTACATAGAATAATAGAATAGACATACATAAATACATCATACCATCTTCAAAATACTCTGTAAGAGTATTAAAAGGAAAATTAAGAGGGGCGCCTGGGTGGCTCAGCAGGTTGAGCACCTGACTTGATTTCGGCTTGGGTCATGATTTCACGGTTCGTGGGTTCGAGCTCCGCACTGGGCTCTACACTGGTGGTGTGGAGTCTGCTTGGGATATTCCCTCTCTCTCTCTCTCAAAAAGAAATAAATAAACTTAAAAACATATTTTTTTTTTTAATTAAGAGAATATTCGTTTACTCTAAGCATAACGTGAGGCCCCTAAACAAAAAAAAAAAAAAAAAAAAAAAAAAACCCAGAAGCCATAAAGGAAGAAGAAAGAAATTTGAACAAACAGTAATTAAAATATTTTATAATAAAAAATAGTTCCTCGGCCTAAGTGGCAGAGTCGGTTGTCGTCCGACTTCAGCCAGGTCACATCCTCATGGTCCTGCGAGTCTCGAGCCCCGCTGTCACTTGGGCTGATGGCTCAGAGCCTGATGGTTTCTGATTCTGTGTCTCCCTCTCTGCCCTCCCGTTCATGCCTGTCTCCTCTGTCTAAAATAAATAAATGTTAAAAAAAAAATTTAAAAAAAAAAAAAAATAGCTCTCTCCCTGGTATCCTCACCCACAAGGCCGGGTGGTAGGATTGAGCCTCCGAATCTAGGCCAAATAAAGTTGCCTCTTTTGCTTTTGCATCAAAAAAAAAAAAAATAGACCAGGGGCTTGGTGGCTCAGTCCGCTGAGTGCCTGACTCGCCCAGGTCATGATCTCACAGTTTAGATTCAGCCCCGCGATCGGGTTCTCTGTGCTGACAGCTCGAGCCTGGAGCCTGTTTCAGATTCTGTGTCTCCCTCTCTCTCTCTGCCCCTCCCATCTTGAGACTCCCTCTGTCTCAAAAAATAACAACATTAAAAAAAAATTTTACAACAAATAAAAAAATAGACCATAATTAAAAAGATAACAAGTACACATTCACCAAGATAGGACAAGGATTAGCCACTTCAATGAAAAAAATGTAAATTGGTAGCTAAAGGCACGCTTAAAAAAATCTTTTGTTTTGTTTTTGTTTTTTTTCATCAGAAGAAAAGGGTTAAAATGACCTGGAGAAATAGGGGAGAAATGGTCATTCAGTCATGCCGGTGAGAATGAGAGCTGTGTCGCGCTTCATTGATCCTCAATAACGACTTCAGCCCCAGCCAGCACACTGGCCTCTATGAACCTTACAGTATTTCAGGAGTGTATCTGGGAGAAACCAAAAGAGCAACAACACAAGAGGATTACCATTATCTGGTGGCATTAGATGCTTAAAGGTTATTTCATAACATTCAGCAAGTATTCCCTAAAAGTCCTAAAACACAAGAATTAGGATTTTCTAACATCAAAAAAAAAATAAAAACTATGGGGCACCTGGGGTCGGCTGAGGCCTGACTGGCTCAGGTTATGATCTCACGTTTTTGAGTTCGAGTTCACGTCAGGCTCTTGCTAACAGCCCAGAGCCTGGAGCCTGCTTCTGACTCCTCAGTCTCCCTCCTGTCTGCCCTCACTCTGCTTGATTGCTCTCGGGCTTCTCTATCTTTCTCTCAAAAAAATAAAACATTAAAAAAAAAAAATTAAAAAAAAAAAACTATCTTAGTTCTATGACCAAAGCATTACAAAAACAGACCATCTTAGAGGCTTCCCTATCCTCAAAGAATGTGTATTCTAACAGGCAGAGAGGGCAAATTTAGGGAGAAAAGACAGTAAGCCAATAAACAAAAAAAAAAAATACTGGATACTGGTAAAGTGCAAAGAAAATGAAATCATGAAGGCAAGAACGTAGGGGAAGGAGGGCAAAACCAAAGAGACAAAGAATTTATTGCCCTCCCAAGGCCCTTCCTCGAGACTCCATTCCCTCAGGATTAAAGGAGATAATAAGATTCACAGTAGCATTTATATATCCGCTCTCTTCCATGAATCTAAGACAGCATTATAATCAAAATCACTGTAAAATCACCATAAAAGCTCGGGGTGGCTCAGTCGGGTTGCTGCCTGATTCTCAGCCGGTCATGATCTCGCAGTGTGAGTTTGAGTCTTTAAGCGTCAGGGTCAAGGTGCTGACAGCCTTCAGGAGCCTGAGCCTGTTTTTCTGATTCTGTGTCTCCCTCTCTCTGCCCCTCCCCCGCTTGCGCTCTGTCTCTGTCTCTCAAAAATAAATTTTAAAAAACTTCAAAAAAATTTTTTTAAAAAATCACAGTAAAAGACTGGCTACTTACAGGAACGTGCTGGGTTGAAGAACAAGAGTCCACGGACTGAGGAGAGGAGACTGAACAACTCGAAGAGGCTGGAGAAGGTGGCTGAGGCTCTGCCTTAATGCCTTTAATGGAGAAACATGGAGTAAAAATTTTCCCGCTGCACCATACAAACTCAGAATACAGTTAGGAGGAAAGAAGGTAAAATCTACTCCTAAAATCCAATCACACTGAAGCTAAGGTCACCAAAACACATCATCGAATGTAAATTCAAGATGCAGAAAACAGTGAATCGAGTAGGCTACCATTTGTATGATAAATGATATATGTGCATATGTATGTATCTTCCCTCAGGTGCACTAGTTCTCTGGAAGGATAAACATGAACACGTCGGTAATTGTGGTTGTCTCTGTGGAGAACGTGCTGGCTGAGGAACGGCAGCTGAAGGAGACATCTTTCTACCATACAGACTTGTTGGACCTTCGGAATATTATACCATATGCAAAACATTACAGGTTCGTCCAAAAATCACTTTTCAAAGTATAGGAAATCGACAACAAGTATTTTGGAAAACATTCGTGGCAGTACGATTAAATCGCACATACCGTTCACATCTTTCGAGCAACTACAGCCGAGGCCACGTTCCTGGGTGTCAAGTCTGCAACAGGGTGGGAATGAGAGAGGGCACATCCCTGCAACAGACTGCACTGTCCAGAGTTAGCTGCAAAATCTCTACCATCCCTCCTAATCTGTAATGTGATCTTGCCCTTCCCCAGTGAGAAGCAGCATCTGTTTCCCTCCGTTTGAAGCAAGGGGGTCTTAGGACTCCTTCCATCAACAGAGTATAGAAGTCACGCTCCATGGATTCCAAGGCTGGGAGACATTAGGCAAACGCAGCTTCTACTCTGCGTGCTGGAACACTTAGATCGGAGCCTCTGAAGGGTGACTGCCTGAGACCACCAAGCTGAGAGCAAGCTCAGCCGCACAGAAAGACCAGGTGCAGGTGCTCTGACACTCCTGGTCACCAAGCCATTCAGGCCAGGCAAGAGATAACGTGAGTGAAGAGATATTAAGGTAATTCTAGCCCCCAACTTTCAAGCTACTCCAGCCTTTCAATCTTCCCAGTTGCAGTCTGGACATCATACGGCGGAAGAAAGCCACCCTTGGCGTACCCTGTCCTGACTCACTGATCCTGGGAGCATAATAAAACGGTTGTTGTTTTAAGCCACAAAGCTCTAGAGTAGTTTGCTACCTGACAATAGTAACCAGAACACCGGCCTTGGGTAGCCCATATTCTTTGAGGGAAGACAGGTATTGAGCAAGACACAGGAATATATAAAATGAGGGACTGGGACATGCAGGGGTGGGGAGGACTGCAATTTGGATGGGAGGATGTGCGGGTGACTGACTGACTCACTATCTCTCCGCGCTAAGTCTACCTCCTATTTATAGTCTGCGACGCACATTATTAAGACATGTCCCAGCCGGCTCCCTTTTAGGCCCCATCAGTGGGAGATACTAGAAGGACGCTAAAGTGAAGAGAGGGGAGAAGGGGGTTTCTTCCTCCTCCCAACAGCTTCATCCCAGAAGTGACAGTTTCCTCCAGGTCCCAGCCTCTCTGAGCACATCCCAAATGTACTTTATCAGGGTTCCTTAAAGATACTAGCATCAGCCAGGGGGGTGCCCCTTCCACAGAAGCATGTGTATCAGACGCATGGGACCCCTACACCAACTTCCCAAGTTCGGGTGACCCCAAGCTTCTTCTCTTTGATTCCCTAAATTCTGCCTGGTTCTCAGACAGGCTAACCTCTTACAGAGATACTGTATATAATTCAAAATCAAGATTTTGGGTATGAATTCTCAATTCATTATGCGACTAAAACATTCCATTCTGGCAAGAAACTTATATGTGCCCTGCCACATCAAAAGTAGAATATATAGTCCCTGGGATTTTTGACCCATCAAAGTAGCCCAGTAACCCCACCTAGTATTGACTGTTACCAAACTGCAAAATAAAATGGATCTGTTTAAAATATTTACCAGTGAAATACACCATTACCTGTACAGAACTGGTTGTTGATGTCCAAAATGCCTGTCTCCCAAGGCATCAAATCCAAGTCAAAATCAAGAGTATCAAAATTATTTTCCTGTAGGTTTCAGGAAAAGGATATCAGCAAAAGGATATTAGAAGAATAAAAAGATCTAGAAATCAAACCTCAGACACAATTGGCCATAAACAATATAACTGCTACTACCCAACTTCATAACGAGACTTCAGCTGAATCTTCAATTATATCAAATATTAAAATGGTTATGTAAGCAAGAAGAGATCCACAGAAAAATGGACAATTTTCTTTTTTCTACTATACAGTACCTTTTCAAACTTCTAAAATAAAATTTCTAATTTTTTTTTTTAATCCTAGAAGATAAAACTAGGTTTCTCAAAATAGAAGTCAATACACTTCTTAGAGGGACTCTTAAAGTTTTTTTTTCATTTAGATGACAATGTTTCTTACTTAAATATAAGCATATTCTGGGTCATCTGAATAGCCATCTTATACTATTATACATAAAGAACTGTCACATGATTTCAGAGCCCTCACAGGTGTTTGAGATCAAGACAGTACTATTATCTTAAGTGTCTAGGGTTATGGAGACAAAAACAGAAGTAAGCAATATATAAATAGTACTACAAAGTTCAAGGCAGTTAATATTAACTTAATGTGACAGATAATAAAACAGCAACAGTAAAGAAAGTAAGCCTCAGGCAAAAAATAAAGATTAATCTCTTCATTATTAACAACCATTTGGTAATAATTTCTAAAATCATAGTATTTCACAACGTCTACTTTGTGGTTTATTTTTATTGAAAACAAAAGGAGAGAAGGTGGGGTCCCTGGCTGGCTCAGTTGGTTGAGCATGTGACTTTTGCTCAGGTCATGATCTCCCGGTTCGTGGGTTCGAGCCCCACGTTGGGCTCTGTGCTGACAGCTCAAGGCCTGGAGCCTGCTTTGGATTCTGTGTCTCCCTCTCTCTGTCTCCCTCTCTCTGCCCCACCCCGCTCACGTTGTCTCTCTCTCTCTCTCTCAAAAATGAGTAAACGTTAAAAAAAACAAAGTTTTTTTTTAAAAAGAGAGAAGGAAAACAGTTTTATCACACTGCCCTTAACTAAGTGAATATAGGTGCAAGTTATATAAAAAGAATGTGTGAGGGGCGCCTGGGTGGCGCAGTCGGTTGGGCGTCCGACTTCAGCCAGGTCGCGATCTCGCGGTCCGCGAGTTCGAGCCCCGCGTCGGGCTCTGGCCTGATGGCTCAGAGCCTGGAGCCTGTTTCCGATTCTGTGTCTCCCTCTCTCTCTGCCCCTCCCCCGTTCATGCTCTGTCTCTCTCTGTCCCAAAAATAAATAAACGTTGAAAAAAAAAAAAAAATTTAAAAAAAAAAAAAGAATGTGTGGAAGTTCATGTGAAAAGAAAGAAAAAACTACTTAAGTCATTTAACAATCATTTTTTAAATCAATCCCCTTTGCTTTTTTCTCTTATTTGAATCTACACATCATGAAACTAAGCAACCTCATACTTTCAGCAACCAAAAACATCCTTAAACTTCGTTGGCGTAAGTAAACTAAACAACAAAGCCTACCTGAGTGCTATAGTAGTTTTTAAACATATAATAGTTTTTAAACATATAATAGTGGACGTGACCTACTTCGGAGATGCTTCTCTCAGTCTTCAGCCAAAAAAGTCAAATACTTTTTACAGCCTAAGAATTCTATCTGGTTGCAAACTTAACAGGCCTATTTTATGTAAAGTGAAACATATTTATACCTCTCTATTCTGGCTTTTCAATGACTTCTCATGGAAAAATCTACTAATGTGTGAAAGAAAAATGACACAATTTTAAAGGTAGAAAGGGCCCTCAGAAACCATCTAATCCAACCCCTTCATTTTATACTAGAAATACCAAGGAACTGAAAGACTGAATGCCTTGTGGAAGGTAAGAATGGTATAAAATGAGAACCATATATCCCTGAACCTTTCAAATTTACTACAGTGTTTCTTGATGGTTTTAGCTGTAGAGGCTGTAAAAGAATATCAGTTGCTTTGGCAACCGCCCAATATTTAAAGCCAATTTAGGGGCTCCTGGGTGGCTCAGTCAGTTGGGTGACCAACTCTTGATTTAGGCTCAGGTGATGATCTCACAGTTCATGAGTTCAAGCCCCACGTCGGGGTCTGCACTGACAGCATGAAGCCTGCTTGGGATTCTTTCTCCCTCTCTCTCTCTCTCTCTGCCCATCCCCCTCTTGCTCTGTCTCAAAAATAAATAAATTTTTAAAAACAAATAAAGCCAATGTAATCAAGAGACCAAATTCTAATTTTTTTTAATGTTTATTTATCTTCAAGAGAGAGAGAAAGGATCTGAAGCAGGCTCTGTGCTGACAGCAGAAAGCCCAATATGAGGCTTGAACTCACGAGCTGTGAGATCATGACCCGAGCTGAAGTCAGATGCTTAACCGAGCCACCAAGGCACCACCAAGAGACCACATTCTAAAACACCTCACAAAGTAAGCAAAGCCATTAAAATCTCATATACTGAGGGCACATTGGAATTCTCTCTCCCCTTCTTTCTGCCCCTCCCTGACTCATGCTCTCTCTCTCAAAATAAATAGCTTAAAAAAAAGTTCACATACTGATTTTTAAAAATCTATCCTGGGGGCACCTGGGTGGCTCGGTCAGTTAAGCGTCTGACTTAAGCGTGAGCTCAGATCACGAGCTCACAGTTCATGAGTTCGAGCCCCACACCGGCTCTGTGCTAACAGCTCAGAGCCTGGAGCCTGCTTCAGATTCTGTGTCTCCTCTCTCTCTCTGCCCCTCCCCTACTCACACTCTGTCTCTCTCTCTCTCTCTCTCTCTCAAAAAAAAACAAAAAAAAAAATTGTTTTAATCAATTCTATATCCTACTCTCTTCTACTGATTCATACTAAAACAACTGCTAAATTATTCTTTGAGAAATGTCTGAGAAACTCACTAAGTAAGCACTACGTATTTTTATACTCAGGTTAATAAGGGCTTAAAACGTAAGTAACAAATCTCCAACCTCACTGATGTACATATAAAATCACTCTGTTCACTTTCCAAGTGAACAGCACCTCATCCATTAAAGAATAAGACAAAATAAGAGCTCCATGGGCCAACGTACTATGTATGAACACAAAAAAGACAAAAAAGATACTTTTGAGGATTCAACGTGCTCTGATAGCTTTTATACAGACTTCTAACCACTCAAAGGCAAAAAATAAGGATATGTCTGAGTTTGAGAGCCTTCTACACTAAGGATACATAACTTTTAAAAAGGAAGTCAGTAAGTTGTACTTGAGTGGATCCACGACTCACGTACACCCTTTAACATCATCATTTCCCTTATGCAGCAAAGTATCTATAGAAGCCAAAAAGTAGGCAGTGAACTGACTTTTCCAAGTCACCCAACCCTGGGGCCAAAGTAAACTTAGAACACAGGTCTTCTCACGCCAAGATCGATGCAATTTCTACAATCCTGAATTTACTGAGTAAAAAATGGCTGCTGATTTTCATACTTAACACTAAGTTATTTAAACTTTAAATCACTGGCCTAAACCTGTCATCCCGAAACCATCTTGGAGTGATTAAAGATTAAACATCACGTTACTCAGTCAATCCCCTCTAGTGAATACTTACGTAAGTTTCCTTTGTCGTGTCCAACTGCAGGCCATCAGTGTCTGTGAAATAGCCAAATTCAGCAAACAGAGTAGAATCTTCGCACAAGAGAATAGAGATTAACTGTCAATTCAACGTTTCAACAAAAGAACTAAGCGCTGTAACCCAGCTCTATTGGGGCCCTCATCAGCCATTACTATTACTGATAAACTCTAGCCGTGTGAATGACAACCAATTCAAAGCTGTTTCTAATTTATGTGTTGTTCCCGCATAATTATTATCTTGCGATCTAAGTCCTTACACCAGGGAATAACAAGTTTTATGTCGGGTCACAATGGACTAAATGGTAGTAACTTTCTGGAACATTACTAACACGAATTCTGAGGCCACAGCTGGACTCAGCATGAAAATGCACTGTGGCTGATCAGCAGCGACGGTAGGAGAGGACTACGGCGGCGTATGTACTATGTATTTGTCATCCAAGCTTTAAGTGGCGGGTGCAACCAACTTTCTGTCTAAACAATCAAGGACTCACTTGTCTAAACCGTTAAATTTATTTCAGCAAATCTAACTAATTCTAATTTCCTAGTAAGATTTCATCATAGGGGCGCCTGTCTGATTCAGTCAGTGGAGCATGTGACTCTTGCTCTTGGGGTCATGAGTTCAAGCCCCATATGGGGTGTAGAGATTACTTAAAAACAAAATCTTTTTTAAAAAAACTGCAATAGGGGCGCCTGGGTGGCGCAGTCGGTTAAGCGTCCGACTTCAGCCAGGTCACGATCTCGCGGTCCGTGAGTTCGAGCCCCGCGTCGGGCTCTGGGCTGATGGCTCAGAGCCTGGAGCCTGTTTCTGATTCTGTGTCTCCCTCTCTCTCTGCCCCTCCCCCGTTCATGCTCTGTCTCTCTCTGTCCCAAAAAAATAAATAAACGTTAAAAAAAAAAAATTTAAAAAAAAAAAAAACTGCAATAAATTAAAAAAAAAAAAAAGATTTCATTATAAGCCAAGCAACTTATGGACATAGAAAATATTCTTCAATAAACGAAGTTGCAACTTCTTATAGACAAAGGTCAAGGCGCTGACAAGGCCAAAGGCAGCTGATTACCACACAACCTGTCAAGTGTCCACTTTCTCTAACATTTTTGGAATCTCAAGAACTTGTTTTCCAAATCGCAGTTTGCTTTTATACCCCCTAGGGGGCGCCTGGGTGGCTCAGTTAGTTAAGTGTTCAACTCTTGATTTCAGCTCAGGTCATGATCTCACGGTTCATGGGATAGAGCGCCGCATCGGGCTCTGTGATGACAGCTTGGGATTCTCTTTTCTCCCTCTTTCCCTCCTCTGCTTGCATGCTCCCTCTCTCACTCTCTCATTATAAATAAACTGAAAAATTTCAAAACAAAAACAAACTTATCCTCCCCAGTATCATGCCACTGAAACTGCTCTGGGGATTTCCTCACTTATAACATGTACAGGAGCAACACTGCCCGTCTGTCATTAACTCGGCCAATGACACAATCGTTTCACCAACCTACACCCAAATAATGCCTAGCAACAAATTTTGTGTGTAGTGATAGTGAAAGGTTATTCACACAACTCTCACAAAAGGACTGCCTCGCACTCAGCGGCAGAGCCGCAAACACAGAAGTAGGTAACTGGCCGTGTGCCTTACACGGTGCTTGAAACCCTGGAAAGAGTCCTCTCTACCTGCCGTCTCTCATTTCTCTTCTCCCACTCTTTCTGGAGGCTACATTAACCAAGCTCCTCTCCCACACACAAATGATTATTAATGTCACCGATGATCTCCATATTGCTAAATTCAACGGCAGGTTTAAGGTCATCGTCTTGACCTATCAGCAACATTTGACAGAGTTGATGCTTTCATATTAACTGAAACATCTGCTTCACTTGGCTTCCAAATCACCACAATCACCTGGTTTTCCTTCCACTTCACTGCTTGACCCTACCTTGCCGGTTCCTCCTCATCTCCCAGTGTGAACTTGTCCCTTGGGGGCTTAGCATAAACTCTTCCATCTATTCTGCTCCCTCTGTGATCTCAGCTGAGTTCACGGCTTTAAACAGCGTCTACATGCCAAGGATTCCCAAATATACATGTCCAGCTCATACGCCAAGATGCATGTACACACACAATACACCTCTTGGGTCATCTCCTCTTGGAGGTCTCAAACTTAGCACATCCAAGACTTAGCTCCTGATCACCACCACCACCACCCCCACCCCCCCACCAAATCCCCTATTGCTTTGTCCTCATCTCAGTCGACGACAATTCAATTCTCCTGGGAGCTCAAGTCAAAAACCCTGCTCGGAGTCACTGTTTAGCTTCTCTTCTTCACTCTCCATATTCAAACCGCCAGCAACTCCCATCAGTTCTGTCTTAAAACTGTATATCCATAATCTGGCTTCCTACCTTTCCTTCCCATTCTTCCTTCCCCTCCCATCTTTCCTTTTCTTCTGTACCCTTCCCAACACTGAGAGATCAGCTTCTGAGGAAGCAGGGCAATGAGCGTGATGGGGCTCTATGTGTCATCATCTGTGGCAACGTGCCCGGCGTCCAAGGAAATGGGATGGTGTGACAGAGGGGGCGGCCCAGTGTCGGTGGCAGCATGCTGGGGCTGCCAAGGAAATGGGGCAGGAGGTGGGAGAACAAAGAGGCAGATGGAAGAGGCAGCCTGAGTGTTTAAGAGAATGACGACACTGAACAAATACCTTCATCACCTGAACAAGTGATCAAATACATCTAAAATAACCAGAGACAGGTTTCTCACTATCTAAGAAAGAATTCACAAACATGGAAAGGAAAGAGCCTAAAAGAACCCTAAGATGTTGGACTGGCAGGGGAAGTATTAGTATGAACCCATGTCTAAAACATCTATGGACACAGAAGACTTGCAGATGTTTTTATACGTGTGTGTGCACGCGCGCACACACACACACATTTCCTAGTTCTGTGGGCTGAAAGTCAGAACAGTGATATCGCGGTAGCAATGAACATACTGTGTGCTCAGATCTTGGACGCTAAATGCCATCCTCCACTAAATGGAAGTCCGCTAAAGAGCTCCTTGGAGAAATGGCTGATGCCAAAGCTGAAGCAGGGAAAGTGCAAGATAAGAACGGAAGATGCTGTGATGCCAGAAAATAAGGAAACTCTCAGAGAATGATTGGAGTATGTCAAAAGAGTAAAAGAGCTAATACGAATGGACTCCCACTGGTCAAACTGGAGAAAATGTGAGCACCAAAATAAAAAGGGAGTATCAGATTTTAACCCACTGAATCAAAGAGAGGAGTCATAATGAAATAAATACATATATATACACGCATACATACCTAGAGAAAGTCCTTACTTACACTACAATGTCAGTTAGTAAATGCAGACAAAACCACCATTTGGCCGACACAGGCAGGGACTAGGGCTGGCAGGTGGAGGTTTAACAAGGAAAAGGAGATTGGTGTCATGGCCGATTAGCTCCCCCAAAACAGCAATCAAATACAAAAGGGAAAGTAGTGACTTTACAGCGGTGAAACCTGGCAGACACCAACTTGACCATGTGATCAAGGAGAACTTCACCTTGGGACAAGTCAACATGGTGGGCCTCCAAATGTGATTCACTGAGAAGAGCACAGCATCACTCTCCTGGCATTCCTGCCATGGGTGCATGACCTGATTCTGGTGATGAGGAACGGCGGACTAGACCCAGGTTTAGAGTCCTCTTAGAGAATAGAAAACCTGTAGTCTTTAAGACTGTCAAGGACACAAGAGACAGAAAAAGACTAAAAAACCATTATGGACTGGAGGACATTAAGGAGACCTGACAAGTAAAAGTGATGTGTGTTTACAGGTACGATCCCAGTCAAGAAAGGAAAAAGCCATTATTAAGACAGACGGCAGGGTGCCTGTGTGGCTCAGTTGGTTAAGCATCTGACTTTGGCTCAGGTCAGGATCTCACGGTTCGTGGGTTCGAGCCCTGCATTGGGCTCTGTCCTGACAGTTCAGAGCCTGCCACCTGCTTCGGATTCTGGGTCTCCCCACCTCTCTCTCTCTCTGCCCGTCTCCCACTTGTGCATGCTCTCTCTCTCTCTCAAAAATAAATAAACATTAAAAAAAATTTTTTTTAAAAGACAGATGGCAAAATCTGAATGGCATCTGTGAGATGGATGATAATGTGGCAATGTTTATTTCCTGACTGGAAGGAGTACGTGGTAGTAATACAGGAGTATTCTTGTTTTGCGAGGAGGGGATACACACTGTAGCCTTTAAAGATAATGGGTCAACACATCTCTCTTTCTCTCTGGGGAAAGAAATAGGGCAAACACAGTAAAATTTAACAGAGTCTGTGTGAAGGGCATGCAAAAGTTCTTTGTACTGTTTTTACAATTTTTCTTTAAGTTTGAAACTATTTGAAAACTAAAATCTAAACAAAAAATACGTGTGTATTCAGAAGTATACGTAAGTATATTTGTGTATCTTATGTATATTTATCTTATGTATATTTATGTAATATATTATTTGTATACTTATGTGTTCATAAATATATACGAGTATATTTGTACATACGTAAGTATATTTGCACATCTCCATAATCCAACCACTCCCATACCTGCACGCTACCACAATTCACCTGCATTGCTGTAACAGCCTCCAAATGGTCTCCCCGCTTCCGCCCTGGCCCCACCCTTCAGGCCATTCTCAACAGCACAGCTAAAGCGAGATTAAAAACAGGATATTACTGGGAATCCGGATTTTTACAGAAGAAAAGAAATACAAGTGTATAACGTAAGAAGGTGAGCAAGAACCCTGTGGTACTGGTTTTGAACTGTGGGTATTGGTACGAATCCATGCTGTTTAAAAAAAAAATACCCGTTTCCTTGTTCTTAGGAGGTACAGGATGAAGTGTTTATGAGTTTCATATTATCTGTAGCCTACTTTCAGATGATGAAAGAAGAGGGAAGTGTGGGTAATAAAGAATGTTCACAGTTGGTAAATCTAGATAAAGGAAATACAAGGCATCACTAGAGCAATCTTTTAATTTTCTGTAGTTTTTGAACAAAAACTTTTCTGTGGTTTAAAAAAAAAAAACGTTGCAAG